ATATATATATATATATATATATATATACATATACATACAAACTATTTTTTCTAAAACAGAAAACATTTTTGTGAGAAGAGTGGCATACATTTCACAAATATCTTTAATAGCTGGATTCACATATCTGCTTCTGCATTCAATTTACTGTAACACATTTTGATTGAAGCACGTAAAGAAAATCTGGCTATATACACATAGATATGTAACTGGGAAAGGGAGGAATATTTTAATAGTTTTTTCAAATAATTGTGGGTATTCTTCCTCGATCTTACACCAGAGATTAGTGGTTGCCAGGGATTGAGAATAAATGGAAAGGGAAAGCGGGAGAGTGACTTCTAATAGGCATGAGACTTCTTTTTGAGGTAAGGAGAATATTCTAAGATTAGATTGTGGTGACAGCTGTACAACTCAATAAATATACTAAAATTGCATACTTAAAACAAGTGAATTTTATGATATATCTCAGAAGAAAGCTGTTTAAAAAAAGAAAAAATAAAACCCAGTGTGGTTGAAGCTTAGAGAGAGTAAGAAGTAGAAGATAAGACTGGAGCCACAGGCAGGGCTTTTAGGTCATGTTCAAGATTATGGAGTATTTTCTAAGTGCTGTGGGAAGACATGAAGGGTTTTACATAGAGAAAAGGGAAAATATTACACCGCAATTTGACAAGCAGTAGTTTCTTAGAAGTTGTTACAACGTGGAATCTGAAACTGCATCAATGAACTTTCCATACTCTACTACAGTCATGCATCGCTCAACAATGAGGATAAGTTCTGAGTAATGAAATGCACCATTAGGTGATTGTCGCCGTGCGAACATCATAGAATGTACTTACACAAACCTAGATGGTATAGCCTACTACACACATAGGCTATATGGTATAGCCATTATAATCTTGTGGAACTACCATTGTATACATGGTCTGTCATTGACTGAAACATCGTTATACAGCACAGGATTGTACATTAAAATGCTTTGGTCTATCCTATACTTGGATACTCTCAAGTGAAACTAGCATACCTAGATGGTATAGCCTACTACACACATAGGCTATATGGTATAGCCATTATAATCTTGTGGGACTACCATTGTATACATGGTCTGTCATTGACTGAAACATAGTTATACAGCACAGGATTGTACATTAAAATGCTCTGGTCTATCCTATACTTGGATACTCTCAAGTGAAACTAGCATTTTTTTTTTTTAAATGTGAGAGGATGGCAGTAAAAAATACAATTACTGATAGTTTGGTGTCACTGCCTTCATTCATGCTAAGGAGCCAGCAGTTTTACCCAATACTGCTTTTGCACCATTAGTGTAAGCATCAACACAGTGAAAAAGGCAAATAACGTCTTAATTATTATGAAAATAGTTTCATTTTCAGGGACCCATCGAAAGGGTCCCTGGGGCTCCCTTCCCAGGGGTTCAATGACCACACTTTGAGAACTGTTGCCTTACAGCAATTGAAGGAGCATTTCTTACTGCTATGTGACCTTGGGCAATTAACTAAATACTTTTTATTGAGCCATATTAAGAAAATGATAATATCCCCCAGAGTTACTCATCAGGATTAAGAGATGTGAAAATATTTTGTACGTTGTGCAGCATCATAAAAATATAAGACCTTATTAATACCTATAATGAATGATATGATTTCCGTGGATACCACTGACTTCATTCTGCACAACCTGATAGTGACCAAATTATACATTTTTCTGCTGTTGTTTCTCTTACTAGCAATCTTTATACGTCTACCTTAATTCAGACCCTTACAATCAATCACAGACGCAAAACTGATTTGTTAATCATGTTACTGCCAGCTGAACATATCTAAGGTTTTTTTTTTTCCTTTTTGTCTTTTTTACTGACCAGTAACGGGATCTCAACCCTCAGTGTTGCGTCCGCACCACGCTCAGCCAGTGAGCGGGAACCGGTCTCCACATGGGATCCACACCCTTGGCGGGAGCGCTCCCGTGCTCCCAAGCGGTGCACTCTCCAGTGCGCCACCCGGCCAGCCCGCTAAGTTTTTATCATATCCCTACCCTACCCTGACAAGTTAAACTTGTTTAGAGTTTTCACTTGAGTATGTCTAGATATGACCTTTTGTTTCATCTGAATAATGTCTGATTGTGTTCACCTGTTTCTCTCGCCCTCTAAAATTGGCCTCCCCACTTCTATCTACTCAAACATCATCTCCATCTTTAGCATCCAATTAAGTCCACCTTTTCTGGCTATCCAAGTAGGATAACTTTTCTCCTTTGAATACCTGGCACTTAATGTCTTCTGTTACTAGATATCTTCTCTTTGCTTACTTTTCCTTAACTAGACTGTAATTTCTCTCAGGGTAAGTACATCTTACATTTCTCTTTATTCCTTTCAGCATCTATTAGCACAACATTCAGCCTGTCTAATGGTCCTATGTGCATTCTACTAGAGACTAGCATCAAGGAAGCACTGACCTTAATATCCAAATAAAGACCTAGAAAACTGTGGTAGTTTAACCTGCTTTGTAGACCTAAGATCTATAGCTCTTGTCATATACAGTTTCTAGAGAAAGTTTTATCTATAAGGCTTACTCAAGTGACAGGGCGAGGTAGTCAACATCACACTTTAGAGTGAAATTACTCTATAGGCAAAAATTGTAGTTCTCTAAGTACCCAAGATTTGGCTCTGGGAGGAAAACAAATATATAATAATGTATATTAAGGTGCACAATAGATCTAAGATATATTTCTTCATAAAGAAAGATAGTAAGAAATCTAAAAAAACACTACCAATTTAAAACATACACAGTGCAACAGTATAAAAAAATTAACTGAAATGAGAGTGTCTTGGACTAAACCAAGATAAAAAGCATAAATTCAAGATGCAGAATGGTCAAAACAAAACAAAAAAACACTAGCCATGAGTTGTAGCACTTATTATTATTCAAAAAGTCAAATCAAATAGGCAACAAACAAAGGTAGAAGCTTTATACTGAAAAAGCAACAGCAACTGAAAGGCTGTACTGTCAAGTGGTAAAAAGAGCATGGGCTTCGGCATCAGAATAAGCTGGGTTCAAATCCTAGTTCAGAAACTGAATGAAATTAATGAAATCACAAAATCCCTCTAGGCTTTGGAGCTATTATCTGTAAAATTGGGGCTATTACTACTGCCTGGAAGAGTTTTTGAGAGGATTAGAAATAATATAGGGCAGTAAAAAATAGACTTTGAAGTCAGCTGTGTACTTCTTATAGCTCAGGTAACTTAAGCCTCAGGTTTCTCATTTGTAAGATAGGTATAATATCACCTCCTTAGAGCTCTTGTGAGGATAAACATCTATAAATTATTTTTATAATCTCTATAAAGTCTTAGACGTACACCTAGTAAGTGCTCAATAAGTTGTCATTACAGGGTATGTAAATATATTTATACATACACACATACCCCACCTTGCACAGTGTCTGCCATATTACACTTAATAAATGTCAACTATTATAATCATTTCCTACCATAAGAAATTTCAGAATGATGATAAACTTTAAACTATGATTCTACACCCTGTTATACCCAATCTAAATATGATTAATCAATCAAAGATTGATGGTAGTTCGTTAATTATTCCAACTACAAATTTTTCAGGATTATTTAGGGAGTAGAAGCAGGATTAAGTATAAAATGCCCACTAATACAAAGCCCAGGAACAAGGAAATACTAGGTGGGAGACGTGATTAAGCACATCAGCTATTCATTCTGTAAACTCACAATCCATGAATTAAATGCTTATTTGTTAATGCAAGTCATTTACAATTTACTTTTCTGCCAAAGGCAAAGTAAGATATAAATTTAATTCCTTCCCGAAACTATCCTTCATTTCAAGCCATTCTACCTGCAGGTGTATTGGCTCTAGACCAATTTCATTGGGTTACAGAGAGGCGGGGGAAACTGACCTCATCAGTTCTCTAAACAAACTTGAAACTGCAAGCATTAAGAAACTGTAGCAACCATTTCATACCACTATTCCATAGGGCTGGAGCTGCTGTACCCTGGTTCCTAGAAACTACTTACCTACCTGCGAGTGTTTTTCTTTTGTTTTTCCTGAAAAGGGGTTATGCATGTATAGGGTAAAAAAAAGGGGGGGGAGGCGTAATTCAATGCACAAAAAGGAATTCAATGAAAGGTCTCTCTTACACTAGAGGGAATCACTGTTAAGAGTTTGTTTATTTTGCCTACTTCCAAACTAGATTGAGTCAAGTAAAAATGGGTCAGTTTGTAATACCAGCAACTGGAAAATTAATAAAATCCCAGGACGTACTATTTATGGGGTATAGCAGACCGTCTTATTTGGAAAACTCCACTTCCAAAGTGCACATCCAAACCTTTAAATAATGATCTGAGTATAATGGGTCAGTTTGTAATACCAGCAACTGGAAAATTAATAAAATCCCAGGACGTACTATTTACGGGGTATAGCAGACCGTCTTATTTGGAAAACTCCACTTCCAAAGTGCACATCCAAACCTTTAAATAATGATCTGAGTACAGAACATTTTATTTTGCTAAATGAAGTCAAACTGTGTCTAATAAGTATGTCTCCATCACAACAGAAATCTATTTTAACACTTAACATCGCTGGACAATTTTTTTTGCTAAGCTTTTTATGCTAGAGGAGCATTCCTAGTAACAAAGGTAACACATTTCTGTTTTTGAATGAGAAGAATGTTATATATCTGAAACCTTACTCATACAAAAGATGTTCAAGTCATGAATAAATTCTTTTGGCATAATGAATATCTAACAATGCCACAGAAATATTAAAAATACTTGGTGACACATCCTTCTTTTAAAAAACAAAAACCAAACTTTTCACTACCCATCCACTATGATTAATTCAGATTTTCAGAGTTTTCCTTAAATGGAGGGTACATCTAGAATCTTGTGAAAAAGAAAAGCATCATTTTTATACATCACTCTCTTTATAAAGAAGCCTGCAAATAATTTCATATACTCCCGAACTTACTTTTTCATTTTTCTTGTCTGTCTCTGGTGGCTGCTTTGCTGTTGTACTTCGAGGAGTTCGGACAACTTCATCCTCAGCCACTTCAACAGTCCGTCCATTTGGCTGCACAGGAAACAAAAAAGTATCATGTTATCAAACTGCTTAGCAGATCAAAACAAAGACTTATACTCAGGAAACAATGTACACTACAATTAATTTCTAACCCCTGACCCAAACTTAAAAAGTGTTTGTACAGCAATGCTATCTAAGACTTGATGGATTACTGTCCCTGGCAATAGAGTTTTGTAATGTAAACATAATGAAAAAGAAAAAGAAAGAGAAATGAAAAAATCTAAACTCTTCTGACTCATAAAGGTACAGAAGAAGAAAAAAATATTTTAGGCTTTGTAGGCCATGTACTCTCTGTTGCAACAACATAACTTTTCCATTGTAGCACAAAAGCAGCCACAGATGATACACAAACAAAATGAATGTTAGATGATCTTTTATGTTCCCCCTAATTCTATAATTTAATGGTTCTACTGTTCTGGGATTAAGAAACTTTGGCAACAGGTGTTAATGAGAAGAATTAAGTCTGTGATTCCCAAATCTGGCTTTTAATCAAAATCTTTTTTTTTTCTTTTTAACTAAACATGTCTGAGTCCATCACCAAAAATGTATATAGAGTAGTTTGAAGAATGGGGCCCAATATCTGTATTCCAACTTTTTTTTTTGATCCTACCACTGCTTTTTACTTGTGCATTCCTTTCAAATCCAACACAATAAAGTTAGTAAATCAATATACAGTTTCAATGGCTTTATTTCCAGTTCTTGCAGAAGAGTCCTCTACCAGACTGTCTACTCATTATAGCAGAGCTAAGTGAAATATTCAAAGTTTTTATAATGTGGCTATCTGCATTTGTTAAAAATGAACAGCGAGGGCTGGCCTGGTGGCGCACTGGAGAGTGCGCCGCTTGGGAGCGCAGTGGCACTCCCGCCGAGGGTTTGGATCCCATGTGGAGACCGGTTCCCGCTCACTGGCTGAGCGCGGTGTGGGCGCGACACCGAGGGTTGTGATCCCGTTACCGGTCAGTCAAAAAGGGAAAAAAAAAAAAAAAAAAAAAGAACAGCAATATGTGGTTGGAAAGAGACCATTTATATTCTCAAACCCAATGTTTAGGATTTCCAAAGATTTGTGGCAGAAAATCAAAACAAAAGCTGTCTTTTAGCTGATTAAATTCCTAATTAATCCAAACTTAATCTTATAGATCTTAAGCAACTTGTTAAAGTTAGACAGCTAATACCAAAACCAGGTTTCCTGACTCTTGATTTTCTTTCTTCTGTACTGTTTTGCCACTTTAATGTTGCCTCTTCTAATCTCCCTTTCTGTGTGTATGCGTATGTAGTGAGGGGAAGGGGGAGAGGAAGTACATGAAGAAAGGTAAGAAACCTCAGAAAGGAATGGGGACTTAAGGCCATTTCTACATAATAAATGTAAAACTTTGTGGAATTCTACATTCTAATATCACCATCTTACTTACTTGCCTATTCTCATATGCTATTTCCTATTATCCTTTCTAGCCAAACTTACCTTTTCTGATTTCCTGTGATTAGCCTCACCTTTCTATGCAAGCCTTGTAACACCAACTGAACAATCGTGCAGCTCCAATTCCACACACCACACTGAGTCATTTTAGTTTATTTACTAAATGCTAAAATGTGAGAAATTAAGTGGTCAAAAACTGTCTTAAAAACTTACCAGAAAGTTTAATGCCATTTATTCAAGACCAACTGCAAACACTGTTGTTATAGCCTCCAAAATGAAAGATGAAATGATTTTTCCTTTCAAACAAATACAGAGCCTAAAGTTCTTCATCAATAATAGGCAGACTTTCATAGACTGGGGAACACTGTTTCTATTTCATAGGCTCTGAAATGATCAACAAGCCAAAGGAACTCACTAGCTCCCCATCTGTGCCAATATCAGTTCCTTCTTTGAAATGTCAACTTATGTAATGGCTATAAGTGCAGTTGTTTTCTGTGGCCTGTGCAGACCTCCCAATTTTCCACTAACTTTTGAGATTTATACAGTTCTCATCACTACTGGGATTCTAGAAGTCATCAACAACTCTCTACACACACCTGATACCATGAAACAATAAGCTGCCTATCCCAAGAGTAAAATCAACAGAATTCTTGGGTAGCAAAAAAAAAAAAAAAAAAAAAAAAAAAAAGGATACACTATGGTGGCTCTCTTATCAAGCAGCAAAGCAGCAGCACCACTCTGTCCTTTTATTCTGCCACTAGCTGGTCAAGAAGGCCATGTCTAGAAAATCATTAACCATATTTAAATTAGCAAATCCCTAAATGGGAACATATTATACAGATCTGCTCACATGAAAAATAACTAATTGCAAACCAACATTTCAAATCCAATGTGTCTGTCCCTGTAATGGTCATCATGGGTCTTACATGAAAGTAATGTTTTCCCTGATCATGGAGCTTTGTTATAGTCGTGTTGCTTACGACAGGGATAGGTTCTGAGAAATGTGTCGTTAGGTGATTTTGTTATTGTGCGAATATAATGGAGTACACTTACACAAACCTAGATGGTATAACCTACTGCTCCTAGGCTATAAACCCATGTAGCTTATTACTATACTGAATACTGTAGGCAACTGTAACACAATGGTAACTATTTGTGTTTCCTAAACATATCTAAACAGAAAAGGTAATGCTTTGTTTGCCCTACAACATCACTAGGGGATAGGAATTTTTCAGCTCCATTAAAATCTTATGGGACCACTGTTGTATATGCAGTCCATCGTTGACCAAAATGTGGTTATGTAGCATATGACTGAATATGGTGGATTAACAATTACATGGGCTTCTCATTGTACCCCCAGTTTAATACTCCCTGGAGAACTCTGAGGTATTCCCTTCTGGGGTCTATCAAAGTTAATTTCATATGTAGCATAACAATCCATATTTTAAGTTAGACCAAAGATGTTCAAATTTGGTAAAAATCAGTAATGGAAAAATGACGTAATCATTTAATTTATATGGATAAACTACTTGTGGGCATCGCCATTTCTACCTTACTGTTATAACCCCCCCACTCCAACCTCAACCCCGATCCTTTTTTCAAATGCATGCATGAAAGAACCGTGTGTGTTTGCAGGGGTTGTAGTAAACCAGAATGAGGATACCTAGCTGACAATCAGGAGAATGAAATGCAAGAGGGGGCCACATAGTAGGAGAGCAAGAGCTTATTTCATGACTCCTGATTTCACGGAAATAAAACTGTTCATGTTAGACAATCTTCAATTTGTTAATTCCATACATGTTTATTAAGTATTTAAGTACCAGGCACTGGGCTGGGGACTGCGGGAACAAGGACATATGAAAGGAATCTGCCCTCAAGTTTGGAATAAGAAGGTATGCTTAATAAAAGACTTCTACTTCATTTGAGTAGGCTTTACTTATTAAACTGATTGTAAATTGCAAAAGAATCTATATCTGAGGTAAGTGTATATAAAATTTAACATATGACTTCTAAGATGAAACCATTTAAATCCCTATTTTCACTTGGTTATGAAAGTCTTATTTCTAGCCACAAAATGTAAAGATTATGACTTCAAATTACTTGGAAAATTCTTAGGTTTAGAAACTAGAAGGGCAGTCCACCAACTACTAAAAAGTGAAATATGAAAGACCATGGACTTTAGAGTTGAACAAACCTGGAATTAAGGCCCAATTTCTATATTTAATCACTGTGATTTTAAGCATTTTCCTTGACTAAACCCTCATCATTTGTAATTAGGAGAGAAATATGTGCTAGTCTTACAGGTTTCTCATTAGAATTATATCAAATGAAAGAAAATGTGAAAGCATACTTGCTCAGAAAGTTTCTTCCCTTCCAATAACCTTTCCTCTCCAAAGCTATAACAACCCATACTCTCTATCTACATGTTCAAGCATTCAGGTCATTTTTCATACTAACAAGCTCAAAATAAATGTTAAGTCCTGGTGGTCAAAAGGGCCTGGACATGCATCCATCAGGCCCAATGCTCTGGAAAACAATTCTTTTGGGAAGTTAGTAAATTATAAATGATAAGTAAATATATCCTCTCAGAGTCTAAAACTAGAGTCCAGGGTCCAGGCTTGCTCTAGAGGCAGTAATGTTATCTTTTTTTTTTTTTTAAATAAATGCTTTCGGTTTTACAATTTTCTAAGAAAATTACATAATATTCACTCAAGTGTTCATTCACTCAACACTCAGTAAGCAAACACAGTAGAGTAATATGTAGAACACTTAAAACCTGAAACAAAGACAAATAAGGCACAATCCCTGCCCTCAAGAAGCTTAGAACCTAGCAAAGGGAAACAGGTATACAACAGCACATACTAAAATACGAGACAAAAGGTGTACTTCCCCTCCCCCTCTCTTAAAGGAAAGCATGGATTTTGAAGGCAAGCTGAGAGACCAGGGTTAAAATCCCAAATGTGTGTCATCCTAGACAAGTTACTACTTCACTGGAGTCTCAATTTTCTTAGCTGAAAGTTATACTGAGCATACAGGAGGCATAAGTACATATATTACATCCATCATGAAAAAGATAAAAGGAAAGACATTACGGGAATTCAGACGAGGCATCATCTTTAGCTGATAGGCTAGATTACAAGATAACCTAGTGCCAGGCACCTGCTAGATGCTTTACATGCATTATCTTATTTAATGGACAAGATCTAGTCTTGGTCAATTTCTTTGTTAAGAGTTCAGATACAAATTCAACATGTTAACAATTTTTTGTCAGTTTGTTTAAAAGCACAAACTATGTTTTTTCCCCTACTAAATGTTGTGTGCATATCAACTACTTAAACTAAATATATACATAAACTATATACATAAACTACAGCTTCAGACACAGTAATTTACCTTATTTTTAAATTCACCCCCAATTTACAACTCGTAATAACTGAGAGAACAATCTTGCAAATATGACCTAGAATTCAAATTTGCAAAAACCTTGCTAAATACCCTGAGATACTTATTTCATTTAGTGGTAAAGATCCTTGTGCTTTCTAAACAGTCAGCCTAAAATTCAATTCTTCAGGGATTCCAAACTATTTCCTTGTTGATTGCGTCAGGGATGCTCAAGGCTACTTTTATGGGATGGGCAGATGACAATTCCTGTCACATGGCCAAATTATGCTAAAGATGGTTTCTGAAAAACTAAATACAAGCACTGGTTTTCAAGGTTTTATACCTAATGAGTACTGAAATAAGGACTACAGGTGATACAGCAGACACAAATCCACACACTTATTTCTTGGATCCTGATGAATGCCTTCTGGAAGCCTGGCATTCTGTGGAACTGTTTGAAAACTACTAGCATAGCTGAAGATAAAACAGACTAAAGTTTAAAACTTGTCAAATAACACCAATTCCTCACTTAGAAGTCTTGATTTTGCTTGAATAATAATTTAAAAATATTTTCAAGGCTTTCACAGTCTTGACTAGTATGCTCATCAATTATGCCAAAGCACAACAAAAATGAGTGTTCACAGGGTTTACTGCTGTTCTTGGTATCTAAGATAAATACAACTATTAAAGGTCGTTTATGCTAGGCCTCTGTCAGAATTAAAAAAAAAAAAAAGATAAAGTCCTGCCAAATAACCATAGAAATGAAGCCAAAATTCTGGATCTTTTGCAAAGGTCATTATAATTTTCAGCAGAAACTTCTAACTCTAAAAATAAATTTTAAAAGCAATAAAGAAAGTTGTAACTCACTGGGAAAATTGGATTTGTTCTCTGAATGCAATTTAATATCCTGAGATACGCCATTGAAACCAGAGAGGTATAGCGGAAATAAGAGGGAGTTCTTAGACTTGAAATTAGGATATTGTTTTGCTCTATGACCTTGAATAAGTCACTCAATCTCACTGAATTTCAAGATTTCTTTTCTGTAAAATCAGGAATATCTGTTTTACCTGTCACTTGGAGTTTTTAATCAAACGATTACTCTTTCAAGAATTAAAACTTAGAAGGATAATGACTTGAAGGTAAAAAGAAAACCTTACAGGTGACAAGTGACATAATTTAGTTTTAATATTACCAGCAAAACCACTATCTAAGAATAAAAATCACAATTCTATTGAGACTATACTAAAAGACAAATTTATTTAGCTCAATAACAGATTATCCAATTAAACCATGAAATGCCATTTTAGCCACTTCATTTAGCACTTAGTTCAACAAATAATTAGATGGCCCCCAACTTATGATGGTTCGACCTACAATTTTTCAACTTTATGGCAGTGCAAAAGCAATATACATTCACTAGAAATCATACCTTGAGTACTCATACAACCATTCTGTTTTTCATTTTCAGTATAGTACTCAGTAAATTACATGAGATATTTGACACTTCATTATAAAATAGGACTTGTGTTAATGATTTTGCTCAACTGTAGGCTAATGTAAGTGTTCTGAGCAGCACATTTAAGGTAGATCAAGCTAAGCTATGATGTTTGGTAGGTTAAGTGTATTAAATGCATTTTCAACTTACTATACTTTCTTCTTGCAATGGGTTTATTGGGACATAACTCCATTGTAAGTTGAGGAGCATTCTTATCAAAGGCTCTTATCTGCCAAGCACTGTTTGCCAATCTAGTTACAATCTGGCTTACAATCTAGTGGGGAGAGACCCCCCAAAAGTAAATGGAATAGTAAATAATTTACAAACTATGAGAACTGTTATGAAGGAAACATATAAAAAGCTGAGACGGAAAACAGAAGGGGATGCCTATTTCAAATAGGGTGGTCAGGGCCGGCCCGGTGGTGCACTGCTACAGTGCGCCGCTTGGGAAGCGCGGTGGCGCTCCCGCCGAGGGTTCGGATCCCACATGCAGACCGGCCGCTCACTGGCTGAGCGAGGTGCGGGCGTAGCACCGAGGGTTGCGGTCCCGTTGCTGGTCCCGGTCCGGTGCGGGTGCGACACTGAGGGTTGCGATCCGTTGCCGGTCACGAAAAAAGACAAAAAGGAAAAAAAAAAAATAGGGTGGTCAGGAAAAAATATTCTGGGAAGGTGAGTTTTAAGGTGGGACCTAAAAGTTGATGAGAATGAGTGGGAGGGCGGGGGAGATTGTTCCAGATTTGTTAATAACAGCTCATGTAAAGGTACTGGGTTGTGAAAGAGTTTGAAGAACTGAGAAAAGATCAGTGTATCTGGAAGCAGCAAATGAGAAAAAACTAACTTAAAATCATCTTAGAAAGAAAAGCAGGTGCTGGGCCATGTAGGCCACAGAAAGAGGTTTAGATTTTAAATGCAAAAACTACTGAAGTATTAGTTTTAGGCA